TATATATATATATATATATATATATATATATACATATATATACGTATATTTTCGACAGTATACGTAACATAAACTATAGACAAGTGCGCATATATGCGCATTACAAAATACAATTTTTGTTTTAATGTAGTTTAAACACTTTGTCTAATAAAAGAACTTATTTTTTACTAATTCCCAGAAGTTAGGTTCTCCCATTCGACTATTGGCTACATGCTGAAATACATTGAAAGAAGTTGTTCAAACCGTATTGAAACTAAATTTACGCTTACCCCAGAGCTCAGAATTAGTTGCCCATTTCGGCCGATTCTCAGGAGCTACTATCTTCCCCTGGCCGCGACAGTCATTTTCGTGGCCCGCTTGCGGCAAGGGGAAAATAGAAGGCGTGGTTTCCGAGAATCGGCCGAAATGGGCAACTAATTCCGAGCTCTGCGGTAAGTGTAAATTTAGTTTCAATACGGTTTGAACAACTTCTTTCAATGTATTTCAGCATGTAGCCAATGGTCGAATGGGAGAACCTAACTTCTAGGAATTAGTAAAAAACAAGTTCTTTCATTAGATAAAAAAGTGTTTAAACTGCATTGAAACAAAAATTTTTATGAAAATTCGTCGAAAAATTCTGAACCAATGTTTTTTCAAATAACTATTTACAAATAACTATGTGGGTAACCATGCACTCTATTCAACAATACTTATTAGTGGTATTTCATTCACTTGTTCCAATAGTGTATGTAATGCTATATCTATATGAAATCACAAATGAGCGCACATTTATTTGTACGTTTATATTGCTAAATAGCATAACTCATGTATATGAGACAAAAAACGTTCAGTGCCAAAGTCGGAATATTACTATAAATAGGTAAAACAAAAGTTGGTTAGTTTTTAGAAAGATCCAAATAAATTGGAAAAAACCAATTTTTCTGTGAATCATAATAAAATTGTTAAATAGAATACAGCTAATCAATACCATTGTTTGAAAGAGCATAGAAATTGTTTACATTATTATACGCTCAAAACTGATTGAAGACGGCTTTAGCGACATAGCGAAGTTGCATTGTGTGATGACTCACTTAACTACCAGACGTATAAAACTTATACACTTTAATTACGTTCCGTAATATGTATATGCGTACATTTTCGACAGTATACGCAACATAAACTATAGATAAGTTGCAGGTATACAGCGCCAACAACTATATACCTGCAACTTGTTTAATAATCATTGTTTTATATTTACCTTCACAGAAAAAATGTCCCCGAATTTTCCAATTCAAGTTTTCACAAAGAATAGTGTTATGCAAATAATGTATGTGAATTAGTTAATCCGAATTAGTTAATACCTTATGTATATAATAAAAAAGAATATATACATGTACATGTATATATGTGTGTGTGTGTGTGTGTGTGTGCGTGCGTGCGTGCGTGCGTGCGTATGTACATGTAATATTCCGTTTTGTATACTCAGTGATTATATAGAAAATTATTTACAAATAACTATGTGGGTAACCACATGCACTCTATTCAACAATACTTATAGTGCTCATAGTTATTAATGGTATTTCATTCACTTGTTCCAATAGTGTATGTAATGCCATATCTATATTATATGAAATTACAAATGAGCGCACATTTATTTGTACGTTTATATTGCTAAATAGCATAACTCATGTACATGAGACAAGAAACGTCCAGTGCCAAAGTCAGAATATTATTATAAATAGGTAAAACAAAAGTTGGTTCGTTTTTAGAAAGATCCAAATAAACACAAATCATGACCACTACAAGTCGGTAGACAAATATTCACATGTAATATCATATTTTTCTGTAATATAAATTTTTCAATTCTTACTAGGATCCATTTTGCTTAAAGTGCAGATAAAAACAGGTAATACTTGTTTTGATAAATTTGAGTTGAGGGATAAAGTTGAAAATACTGCTACCTTATCATAAAAGATTCGTCGAAATGACATCGTTAATGTCGAAAGTTGTTTACTCGGAATTTACGTCGAAATTTTAACATTTCTGAACTACGAGAAATCGTGTATATAGAAAGTTTAATGAAAATTTCATATATTTTTCAATCTTTTATGTATATACAGGGTGTCTCGAACCTCCATGGTGACTCTTGGTGAGAACGTAGAACGCAGAACGGATTGAGGTGAGCAAGAAAGTCCTATGCCGTTTTGCGATCTTCGCAATAATAGTTGAGATATTAATGAAAAAAGATTGGGGAATGATCACGCGCGATATGGTGATGAGCTGCAGTGGAGCCGTCTGCCGTTGCATACTTATATATTAAGTCAAACTGAACAAAAAAAAGTCTTCTACCATTTTGCAAATGACCACATACATTTTTAAATATTAAAGAAAATTGTTACATGATTGTATACCATAATGCATAAATTTTCTTTAATTAATATCTAAAAATCTAAATGGTAATTTACAAAATGGTAAAGGACTTTTTTGTTTAGTTTGATTTAATGTATAAGTATACAACGGCAGACGGCCCCACTACAGCTCATCTACTATATCGCGGGTGATCATTCACCAATCTTTTTTCATTAATATCTCGACTATTATTGCGAAGATCGCACAACAGCGCAGGACTTTCTTGCTCACCTCAATCCGTTCTACGTTCTCACCAAGGATCATCATGGAAGTTCGGGACACTGTATATTTTATAAAATTTTTTATATTCTTAAGATTTTTCGTTAAAAAATCGAACAAATCAGCATTGTCTACGTTCAGCGAATATAACAGTTGAGTAATCGACTTTTGAAAGATAGATGTAATTGGTAGATCTAAAAGTACACCAATCATAGATCATTGCTACTCAATAGTTATAAAATTATATTTACTGTCATTATTTCTATGTTATCTCTATATTCCATTTCCATAAATGAATAGCAACTCTATGAGATATTATTCTCCGACTTTCTATATAACTTTTTGTTCGAAAGTGCTCAAATTTCAACGCATTTTTTGAATCGATAACTTTCGACATTAACGACGTCATTTTGACGAATTATTTCAAGATGTCATTTACTCTCTGCATTTCTTGAAGTAGAATTTCAAAACGAGTAAAAAGTTGTAATACTTAAAGCAATAGTGAAAATATTACCACTTGAAATCGCATGAGTGAATATCTTATTCAAGTTTACAGTGAATTCTGAATCTATAATGTTTTAATTGTTTAGTTTTAGTTGTTTAGTGTGATTATGTTTTTATGATGATATACTTAATTTCAAAACGGTTTGACCATTTTTTTCTTGATGTAGTTTGTGACATATTCCAATGAGAGAATTTGTTTTTTATGTTTTATTAATTCCTGAAAATTAATTTCTCTCATTGAGTCGTTGACTGCATTCCCAACTGCATAAAAAGAAATCTATTTACCGTTTTAAAATCAAACAATACATTCATTTGCAGAATTGTTTAAATTCTTTTTCTTTAACTCATTTTGAAATGCAATCGACGTCCAACAGGAGAATTTGTTTGTAAGTAATTCTCAATAAGATAGGTTCTTTAAATGAGTGCCGGATGTGTTTTAAAATATGTTAAAAAGGTAGTCAAACTGTTCTGCAAACGAATATATATCAAATTCATTCTTCAATTTCGAGTAAAAATATTTACTTGGCAATTCAGAGTAGAGAATTACTCTATATGATTGAAAAATCACTCAAATTCGAGTGATTTCATAGTTATACCATTTTTTAGTGGAAATTTTATTTCAAGAATCTTAGAAAGTAGAACATGCAAAATAATACGATGTTGAATAAAAACATACAAGATGAATCTGTAGTTCTGTCAGGTGCATTCTATACCTTAAAATTAATAAAAGTAGTTCTAATAAACAGGTTCTAAGGTATTCTAGGTTCTAAAATTATTATCTTTCAGGTAAGGATAAGCACTTCTTATCTAAAGTATTAATTCAAATGAACAAATGTTCAAAGTAGCTTCCATTTGCAGCTATATGTTTTATCCTATTGTCTTATATATTTGGATGATTTTTTAACATCATAAGCATTTTCTAAGCAGTCCTGCAATTCTTCAACATTTTGCACTAACGTAAAATATACCGGGAATTGATATCATAAGTGGACAAGTGTGTTTACAACCTTTTTGTTATCTGAGGGGAGGTCTGATAATTTGTTGGCAAGAGATTCCTTCATTTATTTTGTTTTTTATATCAATTTCAAAGCTTTGTAATAATTCATATTACAAATAAAAGTATCTCTATAGCTCAAAAGGTAATAATTTTAGAACTCAAAGAATTAAAATTTTTTGTTTTAAGGTGTAGAAAATGTCTGTAATCTTTTGTAAAAGAACTTCAGACATATCTTGTATATACTTACTGAGTTGTTTTGGACTTGATTTGCACTTATTCAGAATGCAGTTGTTATCTCATTTCAAATAAATCTGACAATAATCTGGTATGAATAATTTGTTAAATACATTTATCTTTTTATCAACAAATGTAAAACTGACATAGAACCTTCTAGTTTAATAATAAACAAATATTTTAAAAGAGTTATGTTTTTATGATTACTAATAAATCTAATTGTCAACTATAAATGTGTAATGCTTCATAAATCATAAGTAGTTTAAAAAGAAATATATTAAATGTACTTAGTATGAAAAAAGACGACTCAATAGACAATAAATCATGAGTGCTCACTGAATGATAGTTAAGGTTATCAGATTTGAAAATTGAGAAATCTGAGCTGAGTTAAAACTGGAAATATGGTTTGTAAAAATATATTTTTTGAAGAATATATCAACAGATTTATAATTATTATAATAACGATAAATAAAAAAAGACAGCAAGTATAGCTAGAATGTCATCATATATTTTTAATTAAAATCGGCAATAATAAAAAAAATATATATTGCAAGGAAATATAAAAATATAATTACAAATTTATAATTATAATTATCACGATAGCAACAAAACGGGAAATTACATAACTAAAATATATATTATTTTAAATATTTAAATTTTGAATAATTTTAATATTATTTGGACATTTATAATAAAATCTGAACAATCATAACGGTAATTATATCAAACTATCAGTAATATAATATGCAAAATTAATAGATAATAACAGAGAATTATTAGATAAAGTTTGATGATAAAGGAGTGTATAATAATGTAGATTGAAAACTACAACTACAAATTCTTATCGTGTGTATTTACATTGTTAAATAACTTGTATTTAACAATTAATATTTTGCGTTTGTCTTTGATATAATAGATTCTCGCTTTGTTTGATGATTAGCTTATAACAGATAATTACATGGATAATGAACTTTATTGCAATAAAATAGGATGTGATACAAAAAAGCATGCACACAGGTAAATCTATTTATATAACGACGTTTCTATAGGTACATTATCAGAATATTCCAAAACAACTTGTTGTCCATCAATCATAGTGAAATTCTCAAATAATTCTGTTAAAGGTGTATCCATCTTGTTACATATTAGAGCTCCATTAGAATGATGATAGAGTAGCAATTTATTTGTAGTAGCTGCATTATTATTGGGAACTTTAAGTGTGTCAGCTATTGAATCTATACACTTCCCAACTGTCCACTGTGAATTAACAAAGACACCTTTTGAGGTGCCTATATGTTTATTTTTTACTATGAGTGGTAAATGTACAAAAAAGTAACACCTTTCACTCATTGGTATATTTTTTGGACCAATTGCAGATCCCTTCACACGCATAAGTTGTATCTGTAGATAAACAAATGATTATAAATTTGCATCACTACCTCTTAGTTTGTTTCAATTTTTATATATAATATTTTATATTACTTTATTTGCTATTGCAGTATTTTTGGACTTCTTTAAACTATCTGTAATCTGTTGATCTACCAAAACCTTTGCTTCTGCAAATTGTTTTTTTGGGATTTGCCATTTTTTCAATTTTTGAGTTTTTCCCATTTCACTTAATTCCAGACAACCGTGATATCTATGTGCCAGACAAAAATGCTGCTTGCACTTGACACAAGGCATCTGTATTGGCGATACTTCCTTGCAAGATTCTTTAGAGCAAATAAAACTTAACAACTTTTCCAAATTTGGCTCTGGACTCTTTATTTTTAGACAGTCGTGCGATATCGTATGTAAATGTTCTTTACAGAAAGTAGCTTGACAGTGTCCACATATAAATGGCAAAAAATCCAATAATTGACAGTTTCTCATTGAGCAATGTTTGCCAGTTTCTGGAAACTCCATCTTAATGTGGTAATAAATTATGTGAAGAACGTAGAATCAAATCTATTGATTGTTGTGATATTCAAGAAATTACTAAAAAGGAAATTCAATTATGTAAAGGTGTTGGAGAATGCAGGTGATTGTCACTAAGAGTGCTCAATGCCAAATTATTCCATCTCTGTTCCAATTCCTTCAATGTCATGTGAGAATCACCGTTGTCACTTTCAGGATCTGGTAATTCGGCTACTGGCGTTGAAATATCATCAATAGGCAATTTTTCTTTGCGCCAACCTTCATCAATCAGATCTATCAGTCTGCCATCTCCGCATACCTGACTATCCATGTCTCTCTCGTAAATGACAGTCAACTCATGATGTAAATATAGGCTGCGTTCCGAAATTACTGTCAGTATTGAAAATCTACAGTATACGTGACATAAACTATACATTTTCAGTACTGGCAGTGAATATCGGAACCAGAGAAAAGAAGGAGAGGGATCATGGGCCGGTTTTAGGTAATCCCGATTTCAGCTGAAATGGCTTATAGCGCCTCTAACCAACCGTGCACATAAACTACGTAGCCAATGTGCACGAATTGTCTCAGTGGGTAAAGAAGTAATGTCCACGATTCTTGATGTTAGACAGACAGGCAATCAACATTATCTGTTTTTGTCTCACCACAGGCGAGAAACAATCGCAGCGGTAGACACAGCGGTTGCTTTCTAAAGCTCATTCTACAATTGCGTAAGCGTAGTCGTGAACGTTAAAGGGACGTCTACATTGGAAGTAAGCAGTAAGAAGTAGGAAGTAAAAATAAGAAATTGACCAATCATAGTTGATTATTCTTCTCACATTAGACTGTGGTTGGTCAATTTCTTACTCTTGCTTTCTACTTCTTGCTATTTACTTCCAATGTAGACGTCCCTTAAGAGTCAACTAATCCGAATGTTTTATTCACTGATTGCTTTACTCTGATTGGTTGTCGTAATCACTTACAACCACTTACATCCACGTTCACGCAATTGTAGAATGGGCTTAACAAGAGACACAAGTCGACATAAACATTATTCTATCTTTGTTCCACATTTAGTGAGTAACAAAGATAGGATGATACTTGTGTCAACTTGGGTCTCTTGTTGGAAAGCAACTAGAGTGATAGAAACTTCCCAGACAGCACAAGATCTCCTGAGGACGTCCTAAGGACGTCCTGAGGACGAATAATGTCCTCAGGATGTCTTCAGGATGTCCTCTGGATGTTCCCTGGACATCTGTGCTATTAGGGTTTGGTCGCGAGCAGCACGCATTAGCACGGGAGGGGATACGCACACATTCACGCGACAGTGTTCGTGAGTTTCACGGACATTGTCGCGTAAGTGTGTGCGTATCCCATCCCGTGCTGTACGTGCTACTCGTGACCAAAATTTCTATCACTGATACAGAAACAAGTTAACGGCGATCTTATTGTTAAACATCCCGCTCAGCTACTGACGCATCGCGTTACTCGTAATTCTAGAAGAATTTTCAGGTTTACGTTTTCTAGTCATTGTAACTGAGGAGCCATTTGTATGGGAACACTGATTTAGATACAAGAGAAAAAAATAATTTTAACTTGAGTATTATATGCAAGTTCTTACATTCCGCTAACATTTATTGCTTATTTTTCGATAACTACAAAAGATATTGATGTCATTCAAAAAACACTGACTTTTCAACAGTTTATTCTATTGGCATTAGTGTTTTATAATAGTATGAATAATACCACTGCTTTAGCCCTTATAGAAATATCATACTAAAAATCATTGATAATTACTTATTTTCAGTATTAAAAATACTGGATAATAAGTAATTATCAATGATTCTTAGTATGATATTTCTATAAGGGATCGTGTATTTGATACGCGTACTAAATAGTAATTTTCTATTATTATACATAATCTTAATATCGATGATATATTTAAACAACGGTATATTAAGCTGGTATAATATTCATTAACAAAACGCATTGTATTGATAGAATGCGTCACTGTTGATATACATTGTCGATATTAATAGCATGTTCGACTGGTTCTGGGTTAATCGTTCCGAGAGTGATTAATGACGTCGTAAGTTTCTACTAGCCAATCATAAAGCTTATAAGTATTATAATACTTATTCGACCAATAAACGTAGGCTGATTAACCCAGAATGGATTAACCCAGAGCCAGTCGAACATGCTATAAGATTATCTAAGGGTGCCGTCCCATTGAGCACGGATCGGAACGCCGGATCGGATTTCTTACTATAATGAGCGTTCCGTTCTCTAGTTCCGTTCCGTAAAAGTTTCCTCTACCAGTCCCATGTAGCAAAAACGGAACGGATTTCTAGTTATAAAATATATTTCACTCTTCAATTAAATATTTCAGAATATTCATGACAATGTTATCGGCAAGATAATTGCATAAATTATGTATATAATTAATTCTGTCGCGTCAAAATAACGAAATATTGACGAATTAATCATATTTATTTGCGACCGACGCGCCATTCCGTTCCGTTTTTGCTACATGGGACTGGTAGAGGAAACTTTTACGGAACGGAACTAGAGAACGGAACGCTCATTATAGTAAGAAATTCGATCCGGCGTTCTGATCCGTGCTCAATGGGACGGCACCCTAATAGAAAGTTACTATTTAGTACGCACGATGTAAACCAGGCCATTGAGTAACGCAACAGTCAATAGAAATAGGCATTAGCCAATAGGAACAGGGAATAGAAACAATTGATCAATCCGAATTCTTATTCCCTGTTCCTATTGTCTGTTGCCTGGCATTGTGCATATAGTATTATGGCTTCTGCAGACAGGACGCGGTAATGCTTGCCGCGCGGCAGAAGCCCGCGCGACAGCCAATCAATATGTTGTTTTCCCGCAAGAGCTAGAAGGTTGTTACAGAAAGCAGCATATTGATTGGCTGTTGCGCGAACTTCCGTCGCGCGACAAGCATTACCGCGTCCTGTGTGCAAGAGCCATAAGGTGTTGGGTGGGACCCGATTGACCACGATACGATTGGACACAGATTGTAATGATTGGTTCGACCTAATAATTCACTAGATAATTCTTTTCATTAGTTGGTTGTGTCCAATCGTACCGTGGTCAATCGGGACGCTCCCTAAGGGTACGTTCAGATTCCCTACCCGGGTGCACTCTAATACTAGAAGTGCTATAGTATATGTAACATATACTATAGTGTTTCTAGTGTAGAGTGCACCCGGGTAGGGAATCTGAACGCACCCTAAGGTGTTCAATACAGTGCTAACAGTAATGCAACATAACACAAATATGCTTTCACTGCCTATACGTCATCACGCTTCAATTAGCTTTCGTTGTTCATTTTTAATGGACGTAGGATTCTTATGTCAAATGTCAATTGTCTACCATAAAAATTAAAGTCACTATAAGAAATTCTACTCACTTTATACATAATATGCGAGCGTAGTATTACATTATTTTTCACATTTAAACTACATCGCTTAAAAATTTTCATGGAAACTTACACAATTTACATATA